ATCCAGGGTGAGGAGAACAACAGAACTCCAGGGGGAAAAAAAAAAAGAAAGCTTGAGTATGACCTAAATCTATCCTGCCTTTGATGAATTAGGAAAATAAACTGAATTTTGATGTCAGTACTGAAGAGGATATTCCCAACTTCATGTTAGGAGGAAATGAGTAAGAAAAGCCCAACTGTGAAGTTGGGGCTCTTTGTTTTTTCCTGAAGATAAAAGACATTGAAAAGGCAAAACCCACAAAACCCACAAAATGTTCTATAAATGGGGAACATTTTGTAGGTGCATCTTAATTTACATGGCTTTGAACAGAAATTTTACACTGAATTACAAATAAGAACACTTAATTCACCGTGAAGGAGATTTTTATCCCATTCTTAATAGAAGAATAGTGCTAAAGTCATTTTATATATTTAGAAACTAAACCAAATAATACAAGAAACTGATGTTACAAACCCAGTGAAAAATGCAAGGTCAGCAAAAACAGCTGACTGAAACTATTCTTTAGAACTTAAGAAAACACATGACATTTCATTAAAAAGCAAATGAAGCTTGCAGAATGCATGTGGGACTCCTCATCTGATACCAAACATCTGAACTGGCCTTTTGGGGAAGACAGACACATATTCAGAATGCCTTGCAGTGCCCTGAGAAGACACACAGCTATGCAAGCTCAGTGTTGTGGCCAAGTAATGCTTCATTGTTACAGGAAGGCAGTGAAAAAATTATGTAATATGCCACTAACTAATGTAAGCTGACCTGAAACCAGAAAGGGGTGTTTTTCCAAAAATCTGGATCCAATTTTCTTCATTAAAAAAAAAAATCTAGTCTTCTGGACTGTCCAGAGAACTCTGTATAACTATTTCAAGTGCTCCAAGTCTCGTAACATGCCTGGGGGATTTCTTAGCTTCTCATTGCATTTCTTTATACCTTTCCCAGCACAGCATTTCCAGCCCTGAGAATACACTAATAACCCAAAGCATTTGAAACTGGGAGAGAGAGGAAGACAGAAATCTGTACACTCCCTCGGATAAACAACAGAATGAAACAAATCTGCTTGGAGACTGCACCTCCGCATACATATTCTACTGGAAACGAGGAGCCAAAACTTGCTGGACAGAGTCAAAGAGCTGGATCACCTGAGATTTGTTTTCTTTAACTCTGAGCACTCCATTACCTCACACACAAGGCTCTCTGAGAAAGAATATTAAGCTGACTTTAAGTGAGTTTCCATTGCAAAACAAGATGCAGATGTTCTACCTCTGAATACATGCCCAGATTAAGTGCCTGTCATTTGATCCGAAGCCCTGGGAATGCCAGGCTGGTACAGAATGGTTCTGCTCCCTGGCCTTTGCACCTCAGCTAGGACAGCAGCCTCCCAAGAGTTTTCTGATGCCTCTGAGCTCATTAGGAAGAAAACAATGACATGAAAGCACTACTCATTAAACTGGCCATTGTTAATAACTGGCAGCAAATGTTTAGTGGAAGAATATCAGAGGTATTAATACTACAAATCAGCATCCAGATACCAAGTCAACAATTCTCTATTTCTTCTTTTCTTTCCTATTGCACCAAATATATATTTAATAAAATTGCTTGAAATGGTTGATCATTGCTAATATAACTATCCTTTTCTCATTGGTGAAGACTAAACATTCTTATTTGATTGATTTAAAATCAAAACAAAGAAAAATGAAACTCAAATGTTCTGTTCTGTGCAACTTGTTAAAAAACCCCACCATGTTGTTAAAACTCAGGTTTTCCTCCAAAAGCACTATTCAGAGTTAAGATTATCACGGGGCATCACAAGGTGCTCAAAGCCAGTAATAAGATTAAGGAAACACTCAAAAGGGCACAAATTATAAGTGTAAAATAATCCTGAGGAAAGGAAATGGCTTTATTCTGTGGTTCAAAGCTACGGACCCCCTTCTCACCTCATCTCGGGTTATAATCCTTTTCCTGGCTGTAGTTGCTTTAATTACATGAGTGTACAGAACTTCCCAAGTGTTGAAGCTAGAAAGTCACCTCTAGAGATCATCTAGTCCAAATCTCCTGCTCAAAACCAGGACAGGATGCTCAGGGCCATGTCCAGACAGGTTTTGAGTATCTCCAAAGATGGAAACTCCATAACTTTACTGGGCAACCTGTGCCAGTGCTACAGCAATCTTACAGTTAAAACAAAAAAAAAAAAGGAATAAAGGGCAAAAGTATGTTTGAAAAAACAGTCAACTTCAATTCAGGTTTCATCTACAAAGCCATCAGGTAAATCTACAACACACCGTTACCTCTTAAATGTTAAGAGGAGAACTTCTGATCTCCTGTTTCTCCCCCAGCCTCAGCAAAACGACGCTTTTCTGTCCATGAAGCAGATCTCATTTATGTTAACATCATTTACATTCTTCCCCCAGACTAGCCAAAAGCAGAAATTGTTTTATGAACTAAACAGCACTTGGACAATATTTCCATACTCGCTGGAGTGTGATCATGAATGGCACAACTTAGCAACCTCCCAGAGAGGTTCCTGCACCTACCAGCCAAGGAAGACTATCCCAGTGCTGGCATTAACTCAATAGCCTGGAGCTTACTGTGACTGGAGCTATCTTTGACTCTTGCTGGGCAAGAAAAAGCAGGACTCATATTGGGCTGCAAATTATATTCTTTTATTCCATGTCAAACTAAAGGCCCACCAAATGCACATGATGGAAGAACTCTTCCTGTTTCTGTGTTCCAATACATCTCTTATCCACAAGGTGCAGCTACAAATCAGTGGCACAGAGTTCCAGTGGCTTGTGTCAGAGATGAAAGATTAAAATCACTAGTAAACCTCATAAAATGATACTGACACATTTCACCAATAAGCAAAAACAACTGTTTCAAGAGGAATCTAAAGGAATAAGGAACCCATCTCACTTCCATCCTGCAGCATATAGGCCCTTCATTCTTTCCTCTGAAATTCCAAACCTATTTTCCCATCATACAAAGCATTTGTATCTTATCCTTCTCCAAAAGTACTTTTCAGGAAGGCACCTATTTATAAGTAGTTAAAGTGTGACATTCAGTAAATGCTAATTCATTGAGTTTGAAAGGATACTTTGTTGTCAATATAGTTACTACTGCGGCAGTGCCTTTGAAAAGACAAGATCTATCACTGCTGACACAACTCACTTATAAAAGAAATAGTATGACAGAGGCTGGAAGATCTGTAGGCATCTCTAAAACACCCTTTGAGTTCAGTGCAGATGTTGCCAGTATTTATAATTTTTAAGCCACTGGGATATAAACACTTCGCTATAAACACCACTGAAGTTTTGCTTTTCTTTTCTTCATTCTGTGTGTGTTTATTTTAGTGTTAAAAATGTTAACTTCAAGAATAAGAAAAAAGCAACAGATGTTTAAACTAAACAAAAACTGGTCCAATAGAGTGTATTTCTTAAGCTGTTCTTTTGCTTTTGAACTATTAAAGCTAAGATCCGGTTAAATAACAATTACTGGAGAAAAGGGTAGGGGGAAAAGGGGCTGGAAAGAATCTTCCATAAATACTAGGCATAATTACAATGAATTGAACTAATGAGCCAAAATTACAGGTCAACAAACTTAGTCAACAAAACACTCAGAAACTACATAAATAAAGTTCTGTGTACAATGCTATGGCCTTCATCAGAAGTTATTGATTGTTTCCAAAGAAAATACTGGTTACTGTAGAGAGCAATGAAGAAGTTAGTTTCCTGAAAGTTGTTCTTCTTTATTTATTTTCTTTAAAACTAGTTTTCTTGTGCTAATAAAGAAAGGATAAGAAAGAGGTTCGAAATTCAACTCCATTGAACCCCAGCTCTATATTTTTCAGCTCAATCTTCTGTAAAAGAGCTTCATTCAAACGAATATATACCTATTCATGCAGGAAAGAAAAAGAAGAAAGAAACCAAAATAAAAAGAAACAAAGATATTAACAGTTCATCAGGGAGCCACTCCACTTCCTGAAGGGAAGAAATGTGGCCATGCTGGTTTAGTGATAGAAAAGACTATTTTCCAAAGTGAGATTCAGCTCCCTGTGTTCTGGCCTGGCCTGGCCTGGAGTATGAACAGATATCTCCTGGGCCTATGTATACTCTATATTGTTTCATTCCTGACAACTACAGCAAGATAATTTTCCAAACGAACATGGAAAATGTTTCTGCTGAATCAGAAAGAAAAAAAAAAAAATTTGCAGTGCTTGTGTGTGGCTACAGCAAAAACAGTTCTACTGCCAAGCTGAATTAGCTCTGTGGTGCCTTTCTTTCCAGGCAAAGCCAAGCCATAACCGCTTCTTCGAGACGCACGTAGAGAAAAACTCCACTAGATTAAGAAACTGATTTTGCCCTGTTACCTCAGGCGCCTTCCCAACAGGGCTCTGAATGCTGACAGTGTGCAGAGCAAGCGCCAGCCTACCCTGGATGGAGGCGACACCAGGGGAACTCAGCGCCGGGTTCCAGGAGCACAACCCGCGTTGTGTAATTCCCGGCGGGGGCCGGAGCGCGGGGCGGTGCTGGGGGAGGAGAGGAGGGGACAGAGCGGCCGAACAATGGACACGGCCCCGAGGGGGACACGGCGGGGCCCGGCCTGGCCACCGAGCCGTGTCGGGCAACGCCGAGGGACCCACGCGGGAACTCGCCCGTCCTCGCACCGCTTCTCCCACAGCTCCGGGAGCGACGGACAAACCCCCACCCGCACCGCGGGCCTACGGTCTGAGCAATCCTGCCTGTAGGAAAAAGTAAAGTTGCCGCTGGAAACTCGTCTTGTAAAAAAAGAATAGAAAAACCAAATGAAGAGAAAGAAATTCCTGCCCTCAAAGCTCTGACAACAGCCCGCGGGGTGTCCCACACCGCCGATCTCCAGAGGGAACACTCCCGCTGACAAACAACAGCAAACAGCGCTCGGCGAAGGGATCCATTCCACCCCCCGTGGAAGGGAAGCGCTGCCTTCCCGTGGAAGGGATCCATTACCCTCCCGTGAAAAGGCACCATTACCTTCGTAGCACAGGATGCCGATATTGTTGTTCATCTTGTCCAAGTACTGGTAGTTCAACAGGTCCATCCTCATAAACAGCATTTATCGAGCTGGCGGAGAGGACCGGCTCGCTCGCTTTGGCCCGGGCTCAGGGAGGGGGAGGCGGCCGGGCAGACGGCGCCGAGGCTTTCCCGGCTCCCAAACTCCAGCAGCGCGAGGCCCAGCCTGGAGCGGGTCGGGACGGGGAGCGTGGGTTCCACCGCACACGCTCCTCTGCCAGCCCGCCGAGGGGTAACGCGCAGCGGGGACGGGGACGGGCTGTGCGAGGGCTTCCCAATGCTTTTTTCAAGTTTGTTTGCTTGTTTGTTTGTTTAAAAAAAAAAAAAAAGTGGAAAAGCAAAGCAAACCCGTCGGGAAAAGGCGGCAGGGGAGAGAAGGGAGGGCAGTTCCCGGCGGGAGAACCCGCTGCAAGCGCCGGCGCTGACAGCGGCAGTGCCCGGCACTGCCCGCCGGGGCCCCGCTCCGATCCCCACCGCGATCCCGATCCCGGCCCCGGCCCCGGTCCCGGCCCGCCTCCCGCGCACGCGCGGCCGCTGGGATGTTGGGGATGCTTTGTGCACCAGATCAGCCCAAAAAGCGCCCAGTGTCGGAGCTGGGGCGGGGGGGCTGGAGGAGGAGGGAGGGCCGGCCCGGGGCCGCGTCAGAGCGGCGCTCACAGGAAACACCGCCCAGGAGGAGGAGGCGGCGGGTGGAAAGGGAGGAAGCCGCAGCCGCGGAGCTGAGGGGCCTCCTCCGGGCACGGGCACGGGCACGGGCACGGGCACAAGCCAGCACACAGCAACTTTTGGGCCGGATGCTGATCTTCTGTTTAAAACTAATCCTGACTCTTCAGCTCCTGCTTCATTCCCTAGCACCGTCTCACACCCCAGTGCCTTACCGTGAAAAATAATGTGGTTCTACAGCAACAGGACAGAACATCAGCCCTGGAATCACGGAATGCTATCACAGGAATGATAAATGGAATCATAGAAATGAGAAAGACAATTAAAATTAAAGGCGCGTGGTACAGTGGCCGTTTCCCCGTGTATATAGTTCATATATATAGTTTTAAAAGGTTTCCGTCTATGCATATAAACAGGCACTGCACACATTGGTGCGATTCTGTCAGGGCACAGCCACATTGGATTTTTTTAAGGGCTATTAGCGGTTAAACATTCTGGGCTGTGGATCTTTAGCAGCTGCCAAAGCTCCAGTTAGATGACAGAAATGATGATGCTTTGCAGTAACCGGAAAGAACACCGGTACACAGCAACGTTTTGGTCAGATGCTGAGCCTTCTATTTTAAACTAATTCTGACTCTTCAATGCCTATTTCATTCCCTAGCACGGCCTCAAATATGCCTTACAGTGAAAAATGGTGGTGCCTTACAGTAACAGGGCAGAACAGCAGCTCTAGAATCACAGAATGGTATCACTGGAACGATAAGTGGAATCACAGGAACTAAAAAGACAATTAAAATTAAAGGTGCGAGGAACAGTGGCCATTTTCCCATGTATATAATTTATATATATAATTTAAAAAGGTTTCTGCCTATGCATGTAAACAGGCACTGCACACATTGCTACGATTCTGTCAGGGCACAGCCACATTGGATTTTTTAAGGGCTATTAGCGGTTAAACATTCTGGGCTCTGGATCTTTAACAGCTCCAGTTAGATGACAGAAATGATGGAGATTGGTGCTGCAGTCCTCTCATCTCAGGATGTGGTCTCTCATTCTGCACTCCCAACCTTGATCATAAAGGCTCTGGCTGCTTATACAGATGTGTGTGACTCATCCTGAGAGGGCAGAACATTTGCATGGGTGTAAGCATGTGCTATCCCTATGGGCATCAGTCTGCATTTCCTGCAGCCCATCAGCACCTGACGTCTGGGCTGATAGGAAAGACAGACACTGGGGAAGTTTGGTCCAAGAACATGGTGTAAAAACAAAAAAAGCTAATGGAGTCCTAATCTTCCCTCTGCCCTCTTAGGCTTGGAGGCTCATCCCTGCCTCTCTGGGATGGAGAATCTTCATCATACACATGAGAGCAGACAGTGAGAACCAGTAAAACATTTTCATTTCCACCCTGAGAACTTCTTCCCTCTGTTAGAGAAGGGGAAGATGCAACATGACAGAGGCAACTCGTGGAGTCCCATTTGGTGATGGCATTTTGAAAATTACTGCTTGAATGCTCTGGGTATTTCAGTAAACAAGGTAGCTAGTTTACTTAAATTTACTACTGGTATCTACTGAATCTTCTAAGGAAGACTGCCTAGAACCTAAATAAGGTTTCTCCTCATTTGAGATACACAAGGCAGTCCTGTGTGTTACCTACCTACGTGCTTCAGCTGAAGGAGAATGGCCACTAACAGTGCTGAATTCAACAGAGCAAGAAGCAAAGCCCCCGAATGGCTGGGGAGCTGAAGGTTAAGAAGCCCTTTATTGACTATTTCTATACAAGAAGGGCACTCTCCTAATTGGAAATGCTATTAATCTACACTACTTTAACATGGTATAAAAACTTATGGGTACTTAATGCTGAGGTAACAGCACTTTTCTTGGATGGTACCTAATAAAAAGGTTGCAGTTGTTTTTTCACCTCACAGGATTTGTTACTGCAAAAGTTGCAACCAGGCAGACCAAAGTAGCCCATAGTATTTTCTAGAAAGAGAAATATTTTTTAATAATGAAAAGCTCATTACGATTTTTAAGTAGGGGCCTGGAAGTTTTGCATAGCAGACCACATTGTGCATACTCAAAGATATTCTACACCATTGCATCAAATTAAACCAGCTATCTAATAAAGGCACTGAGAGATCTTAGCCCTTTAAGATATAAACTGCAATAAAAATCCCCATCTACAACGTTAACAAAAGAGAGGCGCATTTTTTCACCACGAAATGCAAGTTTCTTACATAAGTATACAAAATATTTTGGGGACAATATTTTGATATGTACAGTTTTTAACATAGAGAGCACCCCTGAATTTAAACTAATGCTACACTTTTATTGGATACTTAGGAAGGATAAGAAAAGTATTTAATTTTTCCAATTTAAAATGCTTAAATCTTTCTGAGAGGTGCAGGTGACAAGGAAGAAAAGAAAACACTGTTTTTCTACGCTCCTTTAGAGCACGGGCCTACAAGACAGGGTGTGCACACTGTGCTAGCTACACACAGGCATAACAGTTCCAAGGCCAATATGAATTCTCCTCTATATTCAAGGATATATATTTCTTCAAGCTGTTTGGAAAAGCATGGTTAGGTGTTGCCTACAAACCACTGAATACTCAGTAGTGCTGTCCAGACACCAAAAAATAAGTTAATTCTTCTTTATGAGACCAGTTGTCACCGGTGTACAGGTTTTTAGGCAGTAATGATCACTGTCATGTGAAATGGCTTTCAGCAGCACAGTACACTCTGATTGGACTTGTCAAATGTTGTGTAATGAACAACTCAGATGTTTCACAATAAATAATAATAAACTGGTACCAAATACTGGGAGCTTTATGAATTTCTAAATTAAAATATCTACGCTGAAAATAAGGTAATGCCTAGTGAAATAATGGGTGGGGGGAATTATCAATGTAAATGTATCTCTTATATTATATTTTAAATCCAAAATCCATTCATAGGAACCCCTTCTTCGAAAGAAAACTTATCAGCTCAACAAATTCAAGTCCAGCAGACATTAACTTTAAATACTGCCAAGGTCACTATAAAGTACTTGGTTCCTGTCAACAAATCCTTGATCCAGATTGCTCTAAACAGGTGTTGATTGTTCATCAAACACTTCACCCGTCTGAGAGACCTTCCACTGAACTGCAATCAATAATCAATGCATCAGCAGGTTGGATGGAACCTACACTGAAAAACAAGCTATTAACATCCCCCAGGACCTTTGTTAAGTTCCTTCTGTTCTTCTACATATTGATCGTTGCAAACACAGTTACAAGCTGTAGTATCTCTGCTTCATGCTAGTTGGAGTACTTCCCACAGGATTGCACATTTTTTCCTTCGGTCAGGTAGATAAACACCCAGATCTATAGATCAAATGTTAAAACACTAGAACTTTAACACAACAGCATCCCCTAGAGGTAACAGGAAATCCACAGGGCTTGGAATCACCGGGGACTTCACATGGGAGTTGATTCTAATTATCCCACATAGCAGATAGATAGTGATCTTCTGGTTCGCTTTAGTACAGGAAAGCAAATTCAGTCTTCACACAAGGATGTCCTATCACAGAAGTGTACTGAAGCAAGGATAGCAAAATACAGGAAAAAAAAAAGATGGTTCTAATGAGTAGAAAAATCACCATTGTCAAACCCAGGTGACTAAAAGTGTCTTTTGCCAGTTAGTCATAGAATAGTTTGGGTTGGAAAGGACCTTAGAGATCATCTAGTTCCAAGCCCCCTCCATAGGCAGACACCTGAATTAGTCCATGCATTAGGGTGGAGTTTGAAAGATTTCTGTGCCCTTCTACAGTTCTCACGATAAGAAAATACCAAATTCTCTCTCGGAGCATACAGAGGTGTGAAGCACCTGGAACAGTGGACTCAACCTTCTCAGCTCCACACGTTTTCCCTGATCTGGCTTTTATTCAGACAGACAGACCAATGTCCCCTCAGCAGCTGGAGCACATCAGGGGCACCCTCACTGCACTTCTCCCAGCTTCTTTTCATCTGAACACATCTAGTCCATGGCCAAGACCCCTCTGTGATGCAGATCAAAGAAAGGCAATCTGAAAGCAAACATCTGCCCCAACGAAAGCACTGCTATGGACGTACCAACAGCTGAGGAGAACCACAAAGCATTTTTCAGATTTAAAAAGAGCTTGAGAAACTTACCTTTCCAAAGAGTTACAGTGCATGTCATGAGTGTTATTGAGTCACTGGTTCCTAATGCTGATAAAACTTCTCCATGATAAAAACACACAGGCCTGCCTTATTTGAGCAATAATAGGACTTCATATAAAACTTACAGAGCCACAGAATATGCTGAGCTGGAAGGGACCCACAAGGATCATCGAGTCCAACTCCTGGCCCTGCACAGGCCCATCCCCAAGAGTCACCCCCTGTGCCCCAGAGGATCATCCAAACCCTCCTGGAGCTCTGGCAGCCTTGCTGCTGTGCCCACTGCCCTGGAGAGCCTGGTCAGTGCCCAACCAGCCTCTGGGGGAAGAACCTTTTCCTAATGTCCAGCCTAAACCTCCTCTGACAGAACTTCAGGCCATTCCCTTGAGTCCTGTCACTGGTCCACGCAGAGAAAAGATCAGTGCCTGCCCTTCCTCTTCCCCTCATGAAGAAGCTGTAGAGTGCAATGAGGTACAATTGTACATATTCGCTACTTGAATTTTTGCAGAGAAAAAAATCCTTAATATATCAAGTCTATAATATCAGACTTGACAGTAAGAGCTTATATGGTTTTGACAGCACTTAAACATACACTGAGCTGCTTTAGAACAAATGTTTTCAAGCAAGCTACCACCGAGCTCTGCT